CTGTGTAAGAGCTACTTGACATTGAAACAAGCATTTTTGGCTTCAAGACATGCACCGAAACGTTGTACCAATATACAGAAAGTTCACGTTTTTTTATAAATATAACTAACTTCGTTTTTTGAAATGGAACACCCCATATGCTTATGCTAACTTGAAGGCCAACAAGCTTTCAGAAAAAGCTGAATCATACGTTTCTGAGCAAATCGGTTGAAAAGAATTAATGTTTTTTTTGCAGCAAATTTAAAAAACCACCTTTAGCTTTAACCTTTTAAACAGCTTTTTAAACAGCTCTTATCATCATATTTCAATAAAGGAACATTTACTTGCGTAAAATGGCTAATGCCTTTTTGCAAAAGCTTTTTGGCCCGGAAAAACCTACCCGATTGTTTTATAAAAAATGTTAGCTAACAACCAAGTGTTGACTGAGAAACTAGATTTACCTTTGCTGTTAAATCGAATGAAAAGAGAAAAAATACCGATGCGGCGCAAGATGAAAAAAAGCGAAAGAGAATTTGGCCACACACGGATAGATACATTATCTAGAGTGGCGCTCATTCTACATTATCTAGAGGCCCATTTAGTCGGAAGTACTTGGATTCGGCGACTTGCATTTGATATGTTTGTGCCCTTTCAGCCTGTGGCCGGCCTGTGGAAAGCCTAATTCTTGCTGTACCGGCTGCTAATCAAAAGGGCACGTAGCCTGTATTGACTGCTTTTGCCACAAAGGACCGACTGTTAATTCGCATCAATACCTTAAAAAACACCGCCATTTGAGCACTTATTTTGCAGTGAATGTATGATTTAAGGCATTTGCTCATTTTTTTTAAATAGGTATTTTACAAGAAATCCACTGTCTGCAACAGGGAGTAAAAGGGCTTCAGTACTTTGCCTTCCGGTGGTATCTCAAGCCGATCCGGCACTGACGAAAAGGAAAAGTAAAACGAATCATGTAAGATTATTTTTTGCAAGCTAGATGCCTTTGAAAAGTTCGATTTGATCATTAAATTTGGAAAATCAACTTCTGTCTCTCTATCTAAATGTACAATTACTCTACAGTTTCACTTTAAAACATCGGGAATTTGTCCATACAAATTTAAATGTTAAATTACAGCAAATAAGAAAAAATTATCCACAAACAAAGACCCTGTTCGCTAGCGCCTACGAGCAAAGCGACACTTTGTCCACACACAAAATGCATTCACAAGGCGATGTTAAAGAGCATTTGGCCCCGAAAGGAGTTGAAACTTTCCTGGACAATTATGACGATAATTTTGAGCAATCGGACGACTTTTACGATGTTAATCCTGGCAATGTTAACGAGCGAGAGGAACAAGAATTTAAGGAGTTTGCCAAGTATCTAAAACCCAGGGTGAGGTCAAATTTATTCGATGCATAAAACACTACATTTTCCCCAAAGTGAACTTTATTAGAACATTATTCCGATATGGTTTGGATTGTTTATTGAAATTATCTGGTAGAGGTTTTCCAATTGATTTGAAACAGTTGCTTGGCTCGGAAAACAATCAACTAATAACCCATTTTACAGAATTATCAGTTTCTTTAATCAATTACTTACTGTTTCAGGTATAAAACCGACACATAAAACTGCCATTCTATTGACTTGATACTTTGCTATCAACAATTTTAATCAATTAGTAGACTTTATGATCATCATAATTCGATATTACACGAGAAACATTTTTTTAATGTTTGTAAATAAAAGGGCTTTTGTTGTTGATAAAATTTTAATGAAATGATGTCGTCCGCACACAATTGATTAATGCACGTTTAAAAGCGAAATGGATTGTTAGATATAATAAATTAGTTCAACATGGACATTTATACTCTGTCGTGTTAGAGGGAAAAGGGCGTATCTCCGCAATGTTCATGCTAATTTTCGGATGTTTTTAAATTCTATTAGTAGGTTAATAACATCAATGAATATAATTATCTGCGCATCAATTTTAATCTAGTTATGTCTGGTTTGTTTCATTCAATTCAAGCTGAATTTTGTTTTATGACTAAACTAAGCATATAATTACCTAAAAAACACAAACACACCCGTAGAGTAGGGTAGAGTTAAACGAACTTATTTTTAAATTAAAATTTAAAATTTTAGCCGCCTGTGCAAAACTGACACTTACTTTTTTGCAAAATTTACAAAGAAGAGTAAAAAAAGTGTGCCTTTGTTGTCACTAATTGAGATTTTTCTGCGCAAATCTGCAATTATTTAATAATATTGATTTGATTAATCACCATGAACTATTTTTAGCCAATAAAGGTATTTTTTTTGCTTTCTTATTTAAACATCGGTACTTCAATTCTAATGCTAAACCTCTACGCAAAGCAAAATAAAATTTATGGATATTTTCAAAAGGCAAACCTAATGGTATAAGGAACCGAAACGTGCAATTTCCAACTGAAATCCAGGGTCGGACTTTTCAGCTAATAAGTCTTGGAAATTTATTAAAATTAGGAAAAATTGTGCATCCAAAAGAACGAGACAAGAATCTAGGTCCGTACTTAAAAAATTGGATTTTTCCATTTATTTAAATTAATATCAATGTGAAAAGCTTGAAAAACGTCGTAACATTTTGTTTCAACAATTCATAGATTCCGATTTATTTGAAAAAACGTTTTCGGTAATATTTGTTTTTTACAATATTCCAACTTTTGTCTAACTTAACCACCCTATATCGAGCATAAAAATCAATATGTATCTATATTATGTAATGATACATTTCATTACGGACGCGGCGGTTTCTATTTAATAAAAATCCCATTTGCAAAATATGATATGGAAACATCAAACCGACACTTTAATTTAAACTAATAAGAAAACACCTTTTATAAATAAAACCGATTTTCCTAGTTTCCCGTCATAAATCGTTGGTATTCAACTAATATTTGTATGTGTCTCTATCCCATCATTTCGAAAGTCAACACAACAACGACGAACAAATTTATATATTTTTTATATTCTGTTTTGGTATATAGTCAAGCTAAAACTCATAACACCATATATTGGAAAAACACATACATTTCCAAATGGCATTAATCGCAACCCTTAGAGGAAAATCGCCCGTTTTTCAGGTACCTTCGTCAATCAAAATCAGACAAGAAAAGCTAGCAAATATGAAAGCACAAAAATCGCTTGAGCCGAAGTTGAAGCTGAGTCTAGACAAATTGCTAAATCGGCTACAGAAATGCGAAAATGCTGAAAGTATTGAAAAAGTGTCTATCGGTTGTTCGCACGAGGACCCGCAAGTAAAAAATGAAAAAGGCAAAGATAAAAGAGAAGTGAAGATTGATAAGGTACTGATTAGACCATTTAAATTGCAATTTTGTTTTAAAGGTCCCTTGTAACCCTTGAAAACAGATTTATTCAGTTAAAAGCTGCTGAAATAAACCTTATAGTTGAACGTTTTTTCCCCCAAATTCAGAGGGCGTAGATTATTCTGTGATTTAGGGTGATTTTTCTGATTGTTTAGATTTTTTAAACGACCAACATTCGTCAGTGCTTAATGTTTCGTGCCTGTTAAATATCGCAATCCTTTTAACTTTTAATATCTCAAAACAGCACAAAAATTGCGTTTTAACGCATTTTCTTCCATCCGTCTGTTCTCCCTTTGCCCATTCAGCAATATTCTCCAGTTGACAAAGACTCGCAATAATATTTCGTGGAAAATTATAATTTAAAATGACTCTACAAGGCTAACGAAGTGCTGTTGACAGTGTACACAAAATCTCTTTGCCGTAAAACTTTGAAATAAGACGTTGCCTTGAAAGTTACAACTTCCATAAATATGCCTTTATGTTTTACTGGAAATAGATGCTAATTTTCAGCCTTGAGTTATTCGTAACCTTGTTTCCGATCTTTTGCATAGAACGAACAAACAGATCAATCTAATACAGTAGTATTTCTTAGAGTTTTGGATTTGCATATACATTCCCACCTCTGGTTTCACTCTTGTCTCCCAACGAAGTGGCGTGTTGTAAAAAGAAGTTCAAATTACTGTGAATGTTAACGCAAATTTATAACAGGTAGAGAGTTTTAACTACGAAACTCTCTCGCGGAAATTTTCTCCGACAAATGAAGACTCGGAGGTATTTAATTCTGGCAAAGCGAAGCCAGTTAGCAAATGGTTTGGGCCTGTGGAGCCGGAAAAATCCGTAAAACTGCTCAGGCCAATGGATGATCAATGCGCTCTCGATTTGCATAAATCGAAAAGCTATATAGTGGATTTGATTGATCGGGCTTTAAGTAAGGAGTTGGGCACCGTTCCACGAGATCAGGTGGTAAGTTGCGACATTTGCCCGATATTGAATAAATTTAAGCTCCTGTTTTATTTGAAATTTTTCATGTATGGGGCTTTTAAAAGTCCGGTACGTTATTAAAACATACCTTCGCATTCAGACTAGAGCCTATTCCAAGGGTTTATTAATAATGTTGTGTGCTGTTTGATCCAGTTATGCAAAGCTTCTATTTAAAGTGTGCAATAAGCATATTTAACGGCCATTCGCTGAATGAAAGGAGAGTTAATTAACATTTTTATGAAGTCCATTTTATACTTATTTTACTTTCCAGGGAATGTTTGTTCCTCCGTTGCTCTTTTATGCTTTTGAAAGTAATTTTGATACTGAGGATTTCAATTCTTCTTTTTCCTTTAGTGACTACATATGAACTAAATAAAATTTTTTGGTTTAAAGGTTTTTGAAAATTTGACTCCTAACAAGGCGGTGGCAACTATAAGTAGGCAACAAAAATTCCAACATCGTAATGGAGTTAGCTACGAGGTGACTGCCGCCTTGACAGATTCCATTATTTCCAATGCTTCCGCGCCTCCCAATCTGGATTCTAATCAGTTAGTGGAACGAAGTAGAAGCCAGGGTGAGATGAAGGAAAAGAGCGGTGCGTTACGCGCATATTTAAAAATCTTCCTTATCTCTTTAAATTTTTGGCCACGCAAAAATTCTCCAGGATTTTATCAATCCGAACTCAGTGGCACATCCTGAGTCCAAGCTGCAGATCATTAAGCTCTGCATTTTCATCAATAAATTACGTTCAATCTACTTTATAGGCGAAGATGGTTATATAAAGCAGTTGAAACAGCTCAGATGGGGCCATATAAGGCACATCCAGCACGAGGCGCGAAGACTGGCCGATCTGGAGGAGTTTCTGGAAAAGTGTGGCGAAATAGAATACTAACCCTAGACGATTATTTGATCAAATTATCTGAGTAATAAATTATTGTTTATTCTTGTCTTGATTTCTTGTCTTTGATTTTGATTTTTGAAGACCTTTAGTGAATGAGCTAAAACTGATTCATCCTGATTTTTTTGGGGAAAATCCCCTAAATAAATTCCCGGTTCTTTTGGAAAAATTATGTTGCCTTTTGCCAAAAAAACATATGTTCTGTGCCTGAATTTATTTTGGTTATTTCAGCCCTCAATACTCAACAGATCAAAAATGTAAACCTTTGCGTTTACCAGACAATTTTTTTGTGTTATCGCTGTTATTCTGTTAGTGAAACACGCAAAGTTCACAGTGAATGACAGAAGAAAAACCACGCACAATCTCTGGAATTTGCACACACGAAAAATCGCGGAATTTATCGGTAGTCGACGCTGGTTCGGCCAACTATCCAGACGTCGCGATGCTTTATCCAAATAAAGTTCCGGGCGCATTTTCCGGAGTTCTGAAAGTTTGGCGTCGCTTTGTTTGAATTTTTCCATTCAGACATTTTCATTGAATTTTAACAAGGTAGGCCCTGTAATTTCATTGCGAAAGTTTTCAATGCGATTGTGTTTGGTAAATGTTGGAAAATCGCCGTTGAATTTGTCACATTTGCGGAATTTTCCAGTTTAACTTTAATGGAATTTCATTCATTAGTCGTTTTTATTTAGATTATAAGGCAGTTTTGTTTTAATTATTAGCTCTCTCTGAGTGTAACTCGATATCATTTTGTGGTGTTTTAATCCAGATTTTTGTAAATAGATGTAGTCAATTCTAATTCAATTCAACCAACATTTACTCAAAACACCAAATAAATGAATTTTCCTGCAATTTTTCTCATGGTTGTACAGGGTGTTGAAATTAAGCCAGCACTATTGTAACTGTCTTTTTAAATTTAAATTTTAAAATTTAGGTCCCATAAAACACAATTATTTATGGCAAATCCTGTATATTATTTGATATGATTTGGCATTAAATTCGACGAACAATTTAAAATTGATTTTGAACGAAAAACTTGAAGTAGCTTTATGAACAATTAAATTCTGCATTAAAAATACAGTAGGTACATTAAAGAATTATGTTTTAGAAACATTTCGCTTACGCGAATCTAGAGGGTTTTCTGTTTTTCCAGTACAAATAATGAATGTTCCACTTTTCAACCTATAGACTTCTTCTTCTGTAATGAGAACCAAGCTGTTCTATGCTTGATAAGAAAAATAATATTCTAGAATTTTGTGCGCATAATTATAATAAATTTATGTTGATTAGTGAAAGCAAAGTTGTTTCCCGAGTGCTGTGTGCAATTTCCCTACTATTATCACCTCTTAGTTAAGCACTTTTTGGGCATCTTTAAAACGGGGTAAATGGTCGCATTTATTATTCATCTGGGATGCGAACATTATCACTGTTGGTTGAAGCTGTGCAAAAAGGGAGGTAAAAGTAAAAGTAAAGCTATTTAGAACAAAGGAAATGAAAGACTTTCCTTGGGGGATTTCCCTACAAATGTGTTGTTTCCCACTCAAAGAGAACGGACAACTAGCTCAAAGAATTTCCGATTCCTGCCGGGACATCTACAATTCTCTCTGGATATTTCGCGAGAGCAGAAAAAGTTTGAAAATGTGGCGACGCATGACTTCGATAGGTTCGACCATTTGTTGACATTCAAATACAATAATTCATAGATTTTGTTATTCTTGAAAAATAGAAATTGTTGCAAAGCAAAAAAGCAGCTCGAGATGTAACAAAATAATTTTCATAACTTTTCAGTAGCAAGCATGTGGTTGAATTGCTGATTTTCTCCAAAAAACAAACAATTTACTCGACTTAGACACGTTAATTTTCTTCGGTAAACTACCTGTCGATATGGGGAATATTTAATGAGAAATTTGATCCAAAAAGTTGAATATGCCTGGGATCACTTTGAGGCGAGTGACTAGCAAAATGTTGTTTGAACCTCGCTTTCTAGCATTTCGTTCTTTAATTTTCTTTTCTTCATTTTTGTCTTTAATACCTAGATTTAATCAATACATTTTCTGACCATTTTTGCTTCTTTTTAAACTACTTGAGTGTTGAAAATGTCTGGTACGTCTGAAAATCGGAAGCATCCAATTCCTAGTTTAACGTGAAAAATTAGTATTTTTAAAAGCAAACATAAAAAATCAATGCAAGAGTAGATTTCATTTTTTCTACACTCGTTTTTCGATCAATATTTTGAGACAATTTTAGCTGAAAACAAGTACTATTACGATGGGGAAAAACATTTTTTTCGGCTTGCATTAAGTGCAATTTTTTAGGAAAACTACCTCTAGACGCTAAATTTATTTTTAAAAAAGCAAATTTGTAATCAACATTCTCTTGGGATGACTATAATAGCGCGATTTGCTTGTATCTCGCTTTCTTGCATTCATTTTCTTACTTTCTCCAACTAGATTAAACAATGGAAGTTTTGACAACATTTTTTGTTTGCTTTTATCTACTTGAATACTACTACAATTTTTGCGTTGGCTTTAAACCACTCGAGTGTGGAAAATCATTGGCGCATTTAGAAAAAAAGGGTGCAAAAAATTCTTCTATGTTTAACGTGAAAAAATGTTTTTAAAAGAACAATTAAAAGTCTATGAAACAGTGTTGCATTCGGTTTCCTTGCCTTCATTTTTTCAAATTTCAAAAAAAATTTGTCATCAATTTATAGTTCAGACTGAAAAAATGGGTCAATTTTTCAATGTTAAACAATAGCACATTTTCATTAGTTTAAGCTTTAAGCTCCTTAAAAATAGTACCCAGCTAGAGCTGAAACAGTGCTAAAAGTGTCTAAATTCAAATCGTCCAAAAAACCAAATTTATCATAATAATTGCAATCGTCTCACTGGCATTTACAAAAATTTAAATTTAAATTTTAAAATAAAATAATTAAAAATAAATAATTTAAAAAAAAGTACCGAGTGTTTGGTGTGAGCCGATCAACTAATAAATGCGTAAAACATTTTTTTTCCTTTATGGGAGCCGTAATGGTTCATTTTATCGATGTCAAACAAGAATACATTTTCGTAAATTTGTCTTTAAGCTACTTTAAAAAAATTGCTAGCGTCTTGATCATACGAGTCATCGTACAAGTAAAAATGTCAGAGTTAATTTATTCAAGCTGGGCGGTCCCTAGCCAACTCAACCACCAAAAGCAAATTTAAAGTCATTATTAAATTATATCAAGTTCTTTAAATGTGATTAATAAAAGCTGATCAGGAAACATTCTATAAAACATTCAGACCCCATAATTGTGATACATTAATAACACACACCAGCATGTCATAGGGTATAATGTTTGGTGTATTTAAGCTTGAAAGCTTTGATGTATATTTAAATGGCCACAGACGGAATATATCATTAGAGGTGCTGCTTGGTTTATTTAACTCACTTGGGCATTTCAACTTAATAAACATGACCAGAATTGCGGGTATAATTTATATTCTAGTGCGTTTGGCTTTGCGTAATATGAATGATTCTCATAAGAAGACAACGATCAAATTGTTCATCCATCTGGAAATTGACACTAATCCAGCAATCAAATGTCCCAATTTACAGTCAATGCAATATCCATTCGTTATATTCATTGGAAAGCTTCAGCTCTCCAAAATTGTATCCTGAATTTATATGAAACCTGTAGCGGTTGGATTATTCGCAATTAACACTAGTCGGCTTTCCATTATAAAATAGCCTAAAACCCTAGTATAGGGGACGTAAACTATCAATAACTCCAATTCAGCTGGCAAATGTTCAGTATTATTTGGCTGATCGGAGCTAACTAAACAATTAGTTCCGACGCTTTGAAGTCATAAACCCAGATTTTTTCTTTTAAAAATTCATTGCGATTAAATCAACAACCTGCTTACATTAATGTTATATTATTCGATATTAAATAGCCCATCGTAAATCTTTGTCCGTTTATTTTAAACAATCCGGAAAAGAACGGGGAAATTTCCCAGAAATACTGCAATGCCGCTTTTATACGAACTTTTTATTCAGCCTGGATTTATTAATTTTTCTCAACAACGATAATTACTAGTTATTAATATGCCATGTCGAGGCTGTTGTACGCAATCGTGCTGGAAAGGGCATTCATTTCAACCAGGTTTTATTCTTTCCGAGTTACTTTAAACTTCAATTTGTAAGATTAGTATAAAGATTTTGGGAACGGGTGTTCACAATGCGATTGATTAATGAACGGGCACAATGGAAACTAAATATAAATGTTCGAACAGTCGCATTTGCCGTACCGCAATAAATACAAATCGTTCATAGACGTTGTTTGCACAATAGTTAAGATTATTGCAACTTCTAATGTTCCACGGGTCATAAATATTTGCATAAAATCATCATGCGGAATGGGAGTTTTGCAAACAGGGCAATGCGGATGATAGTGAAACATGATTATTTGAAACAACTTGAATAATTTAAAGTGGATATTTGGAAGTTTGGTGATTCACCTTTTTTTCAAAAGCAATTTCATTGACTCAACTTTACAGGAAAAATTATGCGAGAAAAAATAAATAATACCCCACGGCATAGTATTTGAAAGGCGTACCAAACGACGTTTTTGATGATGCTAGTAAGTTAAATTTTATGGATTATTTTCTATTTTGTAACGATCCTGCTTTGCTCTCTAGGATCAATCTCAATGGCATTGTTTGTTTCTTTAACGGGACTCGGACCGATGCAAAACAAAAGCTTGTTTTTTAAAATCGTCGGCGGTTTGCCATAGTTATTCAAAAAAATCAAGCCTTTGTTTCACATCGATCTAAATCCCGTTAAAGAAACAAGCAAATCCATTTGTTTACCAAAAAACGTTTAACTGAATTGCAACAAGAATTCTAGAAAACTCGTTTAGTAGTTGCGATTCAAACACAGATTAAATGCAACGAACTATTTCAGCACATTGCACATTGCAACTATTTAGTATGACTATTCTGTGTCTGAAATCGTTATACATTCGGTTTTTATCGCTTTTTAGGTCTTTCATGTGACATGAATGCGTGTAAT